TAAGACACTTTACGTGAGCTTAACTAGAACTTAATGCGTGAAACATCGATCAGATATTTCATTTTGATTTGTGGTGAAACCGAAACAGTTGTCCGTTCCGAGTTTCGCCCGTTAAGACGATTAGTGTAATATTTTTTGTGAGACTATTCAAATTCTCAGTTTTATTTTAGTAGTAGATCTTTAGATAACTTTGTGTCTGAAATTTACTTTAAGAACCACATGGTTCTTTATAAATCGCTATGGGAGCATTATTTATTGTATTTAAATGGTGGCTAAAGATAATAAATACATTTTAAAAATTATCATTCATAAACGGCCAGTAGTCGAGTTTTTGTACCGATTGCGCGGTCGAGCAATTGTGAACACAAAGAGTTGGTCGCGTCGCCCGTCGTTGGCCGGGTGAATAGACAGACAGAAGCAGTCGACCTTCAATGTCATCTCCATTTCCGTACTTCCCCTCACAGCTAAATGCTAACGGTACACATGAAAACCTGATAATGGCACTTCGTGGGATCGTAGTAGATACCTATTATGATTTGCATTTCGATTTAATATTAATTGCGTCCACTATTTAGTTTTTTGTTTTGTACGCAGTGCGAAATTCTCAGGCTCCTGTAGAGTCCACTTTAATTCGCCTGCATCGGTGTGCCGAGCACGCTTTATAGGGCTCTAAAATTGAAATAAAATAAATGTGGTGTACATTATGAGGCTATTCATTGAGTGAAGATTCTCAGTTCATCGCGCAACCGTAATACAATGAGCTCTCTATAGTTTGATGGAGAGTGGATCGCGAACATCTGAGCCCTGTCAATCAACGCAACGGTCAACGGTTGTACTCAAAAGAATGATTTTTGTGGGTTTCCTTTATCTTTTGTCATTTTACATCCATGTCAAATGTCAATATCTAGGTTAACAAGACCATAACGTACTTAACCACCGTCAAAGCAGAATTTAATAAATAAATGCTATAAAACTCGTGTGAAAGACATTCAAGAAATATTTTATATTTTTGGTTGGAATATTTATGTTGAATAATAATTATTTTATATTACGAGTCGTTTACGTTTGAAGTCGTACACGTTTGAAGTGTATTTTATATCTTAAACAATAAATGAGAATATAATGGTATATTTACTGTTTATAACATTATATCATCTGTAAAAATAATGAGGGTTTCATTATTGTACATGCACTTAATCGAAACATCAGTATATGAGTACCACCCCTTTTATCCATGAGAAGCGAACAATATTTATTTCATAGACGTTTCGACAGCTTAGTAAGTATAATAAGGTTAATAAGTATAATTTTGAGCAATTGCATTTATTGAAAATGTCATTTAAAATCAGCTCCACTCGTTCAGTAGTAAGTAATAATTGATGCTTTATCAGTATGTGTTGTAATTACGTGAATATTCACCGCCATTATATGTTCAGATCGCGCGACCGCTACTAGCTACGCAGACAGGAGACATGACTTATTTAGTGCCCATGTTGTGTTTCCATCTTTAATCTGCGTGGGTGCATATTTCCAAGAAAACATTTCTTGTTGACTTATAATGTTGCAAAGAAAACAGAAGTAATAATGTAAGCTACATACTCGTTCGGTGAAGAGCGTCGTAAATGAATCATCGCTTATGCGTGCCTCGTCAGAGTACAAAAAGAAGTTTGTCGAAAATGCACCTCGTTTAGTTTTCTGTGCATTGCCCATTTGCTGATGTTTGTACTCATCCCTTATTTATTTATACTGGTATGAAGAATGCACATTTTTTGTTGAGCCCATAACAGCATGCATCCAGTGCGGACTGCAAGCATTTAGTGAGCATGGCCAGTGTTACAATCCAATGCAGCGGTTTCTTTAATTGACGAAAGTCAGTGACGTCGCCGAATTCCACCGCAGATCGTTAACTTTAAATATACGAAATAGTTTGAATAATGACACATATTTGCTCTTGCAAAATGTACTTAGTAATTGCTTCGGTGGTGATTTAGAACGTTTCTGATTTAACTGATACAAAACAAAATCTAAGAATGTCACGTGTATATAGCTTGCACAGAGAAACTAAATAACAAGATTTCCACATTTCCTAGATACGCGCTCTCACCCTTCCTTATCTTATTACAGTAATTGCTACCATATCGTTTCCATATAATATAAACATAGTGTTTGTAGGGTATCTGCGAAAGCAATTTTAGGATTATTACAGTCTTATGTACATCCGGTGAGAAATATAACAAGCGTTTAAAGCGTAGATGGTATAATGTTAGCTGGGCGTAATGAGTCGTTAACGGTGATAGGTACCAGTTTCTCTTATCATCGATGATAAAACATGCGTGAATATGAGACACGCCCTGCACTTTCCCTGCGCCAGGCCCTACCGCATGATACCTGTCGGGTGAGCGGGGTGAGCAAGGTGCGCCAACGACACCAGATTCATACCATCGCCATTCGCTTCTACCTCTCTTACGTTTATGGACACGGACATATGTATGTACGTGAGGTTAAGTGCGAGCACTGCTTTGTGAAAGCCCTCCTTGTTACTTTCGATTCTATGATGTATTGGGTTGTTTGTTGAAGCCGGTATTTTAAATCATCTGTTATATATTACGGAGGTTTGGCATGTTGGTTTAAGGTTTCTTTGTAAGTGACTTAAAATTATATTTATCTTAGTTACGATACGATACGATACATTTAATTATGAAGATGGTAATGAAGTTCCAAGGCAATGACCGGAGAGGTTAAATGCGTCGCGCTGGCGGTGGCGCACATGCAGCCCTACGCGACATGCGTGCCGCTCCGTTACGACACCTACACCAAATTTTTCTACATGGCCGAGCAGCCGAGATAAGCAGCGAACGACGTCGACGTGTTATTTATTAACGAACCGAATGATCGATAGCTGGACGCGACACCGGACGTGGACGAGCCTTTCGAAATTCACCGCCGCAGCCGCCGTCGCCTGATCGCATTGCGTCCTATAAGACATTGTAACATTTGGTTCACTGCTTCAAAGTTGACGTTAATTTAGAATTTGGATATGTTAGTTGTTTTATTAAAGTTTTTAATTTGTTGTTAAATAAGTTTGAAACTATTACCCGAGGTTACATTAGTTCTCGAAATTGTGTTCTACAGTTTGTTCGTAGTTTCACCTTCGTCGGAGTGTCATCATCAGTTGTCGACTTGTCGTGCTTATCAAGGGTAAACTTGCCTGAGAAACGGTCGTGCGTATAATGGCCGTGTCGAATGTTTTGTTTGTTATGTCGAGACTCCTTCAACCCTTCGTACAGAGTTTGGAGCTATCCGTTCCGCTCTCGTATACGTCACGTCGCGTCTGTGTGACAGCTGTGCGAGATACTTTCTAATCGCACTATTCACTAGCCAATTTGACATCAACAAACAGACAGGACTAGGCAACTTGCGAAACTGCAAAATAGTTCCAAACAATTGAAAACACTGTAACGATTATTGAAATTTGCAACATGAGTTAGTTATTTATATTTATGTGAGCTTTGTTAAAACGATTTCACAAGTTGCTGTCACAAAAATTCAGAGCCCGACGAATCAGTTTTACAATGTTCTAAAGATAAGTCATACGTTTGTATAATTTACACATGTATATATAGGATCAATGTGAACTTGATAGGAAACAGTCGGAAATTGGAGGCTCGAGTGCACAGGGCAGGTTAGACCAGTCCCGATGGCCTCGCAAGGACCCCAGCAAACCTGTTAGATTCGTTGCACGATTTTTACGTGCGCACCTACCGGAATCTCATTCACGTGGTGCACCGGCGCCCGCCCCCCGCTCGAGCCTGCCAGTTAACTCGTCAAATGACTCACGCTTCGGCTGGTTAAATGCCAGAAGCGGGCTTTTCCAGTTTTCTGATCCATTTCGCATATATTCTATTCCTACAATAATAACAACATTATAGATTGCTATTATTAATTGCCAAACGTCGAGTAACTTCGTTGATAATATCTCCTATATTATTGATACGTAGTTTATATATTTACTATATATTTTAAATTGAAGTAAGATTAGCTTATCAGGAAAAGTCTGCATGGTATCAATTATGGTGCTGACGATCTATAATGGATTCTGCTAACATTCCACGCTACACGCTGCTCCCATGAGGAACAAGCTGCGGGAAACGACTATTAGTACCTATAGCTCGGACCACCCTCTCGCGAAACGGCCGCTGTCAGGTGGACAACAGTTACTCGTTATAATTATCTATGTGGTTTTCACAATGACCTCCCATGATATCAACACACGACCAGGAACAGGAATCAGGTAGAACTACGATCCGGTCAAACCCGTCCGACGCGTGCTTCCAACATTTTTTATTTATTTGTCTGCACCGTCGGATACCGCTGGGCGTGACGTCAGACGACCTAAACTGGTTAGCGAGGGAGCAGGGATTTGCCTCGTATCCTTCCGGTTCTGTGAGTGGTTTGGACCTGTTCTACATCAGGTTGCGGCACCGGCGACCCCGCCTGGCAGCGTGACGTATGAGCATCCGCCCGAGCTCGCGTAAATTCATCCGAAATAGTGATCACACTGACATCAGCCGCCCCCGCACCAATGAGCTCCAGTCCGGTAGCCATTCATTTTACTCTTAAGCCGTCCACTTGCCTTGCTGACTCACTCTGAGTACGTAATAATTAGCACACGTAGCGCCAGATTATACGCAGACGACCGTTGGTGGGTACCATCAAAGGTCAGTATCGGTACCAAAATGGTCACGCCTAATAACTGGTTCGTATAACTTGTACTCGACCCAGTCGTAAAACTAAAACTACAGGCCTGGGATACCAGTATTTTACGTGATGTTTACTCTATTCATTTGATTCAATGAATGAAAAAACGATATATTTTATATAAAGCTAAAATGTTTGAATAATGGCACGTATTTGCCTATATTTAGTAGTTCTCTAAATATCCGTTTTCTAGGTAGAATAACATAATGCAGTTTTGATAAAAATAAAAGTTTTGTCAACAGACGACGCAAAGAGATGATGGAGGTAGGCGGAGAAACGTGGCGCGCGTACTACTCGTCCGGGGCGGAGCACCCGCTGAGCGCTGCTACATCGGCGGTGCTCGGCGTACCCGACGACTCACAACCGCAGCCGCTGGTCACCGAGTATTACAAGCTGCCGCCGCTGAGCCACGACTCCCACATCAATTTACACAAAGACGCCAAAATCGTTGATGTCTGGCAGTGAGTCCTTACATATAAATTCATTTACCTTAAACTTCCCGCAGTCAACGACATTTTCACCAAATGACGAGGAAACATAATGTTCCACGAATTTTATTATACAAATTTAAAATGCTTAAGATTTACCTCTATCCAAACATGTTAAATATTAAACAATATTTGTAGGTAGGTGTACCGTAAACACATCAATGTACAAGATAAATTAAAACTTCATCTACACAAAACTGCCAAAAGTGTAATCGAATATGTAAATCACCCTAATCTTGAATATTAATAACAATAAGAGGCGAATTGGAGTCGATCGCGGAAAATCAATCGCTGATTCTCACGGCCATACATCTTAGAGTCTTCGTGTATCGAAGCTATTATCATTATAATCGGTGATCTTCGAAACGTAAGGAATATGAAATGAATTTGCGTAAAATTTATATGTAAACTATGATAATATGCAATCTTTGTACTGAGTAGTTTTTGTGCATATTGAGAGCTGCGCGTCGTCGAGTCTCACGGCCGAGTACACTGAGACAGAGGCCGCGTGTCTTCCGGTCCCAACGAAAGGTGTAAGAATAACAAATAATAAAAATGTTAATGTTCCACTCAATAAATCATAAGCGCTCATTTGAATACCTATGGCGGGATTAACAAAATAAGAGTTCACAACGAGAAGCGCGTCATGTTCCCCCTGCGACGTACTAGCGTTTATAATGTGAATATTATCATATTTTTGCAATTTGACTCTTATGGATATTTTTGTAAAATACAAATTATGTGCTTTAAAATATAGTCATCCTTTATTTGGCATTTTTTCCAAGAATTATACATAAAATTCCATAAAGGTGATTAATAAGTTAATTATTAATCACCTATATATATATATATATATATATATAATAATTTTAATGAAGAGAACAAATGGATATCTTGCTACTTATCTAAATATAAAATAATAAGTTTATACTTACTATTTGGCAAGAACTCTTAAGTGTGGAAAGTTAACGATACAAATAACGTAACAAAAGAATCTTCCAAATATCTTCTTATGCTCTTGAATAAACGTTGATAGCAAGATTCATTGAAAGAATTCCCATAGAAACGCGACCCCGATCAAATTATGCCCGCTCTTTGAAAGAGGTTGTTAACAGCATCCTTTGAATAGCGACGCAGAAATGAGCAAACGTCGCGCCAGCCGCTACGGTACATCCTTAATTCAAAGACTACATAATGTTACTTGACCCTACAAACTATTTTTGCTTTATAAAACTTTTATTATATTTCATAAACGTCCAATTTATAAAGAAAACTTGTTTATAAATCCATGAAAATGCTAATTAGTTACACCAAAATTTTTAATTCAGGCAAGGTATCCTTGTTGCGGTAACGTGCAAAGAACCGCGCGTCATTATGATTAATGTGGTAATAATTTACTGCACTTTTATTTTACCATAATGCTCATTATGGTAAACTTAAACAAAAAATGAGTTATGTACCTCACACGTTGTTGTGTCAATCAAATGAGAAGTATGTGGTGCGTATGAGTGCAGTTGTGCAGGCGGTCGCCATGCAGCCCGCCACCGATGCTCCGGAATGTGACGTGTGACCCGGTGCATTTGGCTCGTCATCCTCGTCACCGCTACGGGAGTGCATAAACACAAATAATGACAATAGACGGATGTGGCTGGAAGCGGCTCACATTGACAAGGACGCCCAGGACTTGTCTCGGCTCATTGTCGGCACGCGGCCCACGCAACGGTTCAACGCGCTGCTATTGCTCATTCATACATTCAAAATTATAACGAATCGCCCGCGCCCGCGCCCGCACCCATCCGAGCGTTGTGTCTCCGTATGCGTTTGTATGCTAATCCAATAGCTCAGCGCCAGTGCATCGTCAGGTTCGAGGCGCTGTATTTGTTGTCTAAATCGCTCGTATTATTTGAATTGAATGCTCGATAGATGTAGAAATGAACTAGTTTCGTCTGTAGGCATGCTCCTTCCAAAGAGGGCGTAGGCGTCAGTCGGTTTCGTAAATGCATTGCGTAGTGCGCGGGCGCAGCTAGGTATATCCAGGACTACGGACGGATATTACCGATATTAATATGGCAGCAATAACCATTAATAGTTGTCGGAGGGCCGTCGAATGCAAACGCTAAGATTAGCATAGAAACTTGCGCCGGGATGCCTCCGGCGGGGAGGGCCTCGCCCTTTTGACCCTGTCACTGTTCACACTCGCCACTAACGGGAAAACAGTTTCTCTCCTCTCTTAGGTAGATATCTTGGTTATTTTATTACTTTCCTAAAAAGGAATTAACAGCGCTGAATGCATCTACTAAGGCCGTTTGTTGGCTTTTTGCAGGAAAGTAGCAATTTTATGTATACCAGTTTTAAAGTAATTTACAGGCTGATGAGGAAAAAGTCGTGTTACTTTGTCGAAATTGCGAGTCTATGAAAGAAATATGCATATAAAGAGTCGGCCTGGTTTCGTGCTGTATTGCACAACTCAAGTGTCACAGTGTTTAACAAAAAACTCAAGGAACTGGAACCGTGTGACCCATTTAGGACTAAAACCGGTTTCCTCAGAAGATACGACTGTATTGTTAATCGCACAGCAGTTAATAGTGTTGAATCCCCTTAGAAACAGCCGACCCCCTGACGAAGATAATCTGTAAAAATTATAGTAGCATCGTTATGTCCCTGACACCCATGGTCGTCACAACGAAATATGAAATCGGGGCTTGACCATTCTTCTTGACCATTTTTTATAATGAATGGAAATCACCGTCCAAAGAATTTCAATTACCGCCGTTACAGTCGTCCGCGAATTATTACTCGCCGTTGCCGATGGACATTATATCTGTCCGCCGTTTTGATACTTAATTGAGTTCAGGGAAAAAATTAACGGGAAATTAATCACTTTAGTTGTATGCGTAATCGAATGGTCGTTTTAATGGCATAGACAAATGGCGAAATCGTTTTCAATTAAAGTTTTTGATAATGTATTAGTTCCGTGAGAAAAGTAGCAATAAACCTACATTTGGCCGAATGATATATTCAAATAGAATGGAATTACGTTCCTCGCATCCGTTGCAAGCGCTTCATCTCGTTTTATCGCCTATAGATTCTAATCTATTCGTCAAACTGTGGATAAACTGTCGTCGCCTCAGATTTTAATTGCGATAGCACCAACCGTGTGTGTATGTGCTTATTTATATACACATTAGAGGTTCCGCAGAATAACGAACGTAGGTATTTAGCATTTGTAGAGTCATTAGTGTAGATCATTGCAGACATTGTTAGTTATGTATTACACTGCAGCGACTTAATTAGCTGTATTTGATCATAAGTTTTAATGTCATTTTATATCGCCGGATATAGTCAGTCGTAAAGAAAAACAATGTTTTCTTTACTTACTTTATTATTGCTAGTCGAGTTTTGTATGAGTTTTAAATTGCATTAAAGTCTTTACGAGCAGAAACAAAATAATCAAAATACTGTTTATTGGTGCTTATTTGTTACACATAAGTTGGTTTGCACGTTTTGCGGAATCCAAATAAAAAAAATGTTTCGTCTTTGTAATTCATAAGTGTAATTTCGATAGACGAAGTCGCTATACTTTGGTATCGGTATACGTAGGGTGCTGCACCCCAAACGGCACATTGTCGAGATCTCATCATGTGTGAAAGGGTGTTAAGTAAACATTGCAAATAATTATAATGGCAATTGCATCCTGCCTCCGTTTCGATGTTGCTTGATAACAAATTCTATATTTGCATGTAAAATGTAGCATACAGTTCCATAAAGGTGCTCATTCCCGCATTTATTGCCGACACTGTTATGCTAATAGTATGCAACATGACACTGATATCGGATTATGAGTTTGAGATTCTCAATTTTACTACCTGCTTCGGAATTAATTCCAATATTTTGTAGCAAACTAGGTTTGTTGTGCAATTTTGTTACTCTTTTCGTTTTACCGATATATCTACCTGCTAATAGATAAATGGTCACAGTTAAAGCTATACAAATTGTCCAAGTTGTATCTCACGTCATTCACATACCTTTCAAATTTGTCGTTAAAATAGTGACTATTTTTATAGCTTCTTAAGTGACTGTACGTAGGTATACGAGTACATAGTAGATACTTAGTCAGCGTTTGATTAGAGATTAATATAAATAATATTATACAATTTATTGAGTTATTTGTTTTGCCAATCTCAATTTGGAATGGAAATGCTTGGTTTGAAGGAAATCATTAATTTAGCGTCCCCGTTGTTGTTGTTTCATACATATATGTTGTATGCTTAAATGTACCAGTTTAAAATATTTTATAATGGTAATTTAAAATTTAGAACATTTGCAAAATATAGTAATACACGAAGTCGTAAAACGCGATTCCTACTTTAAATCACGGTTTGAAAGGAAAATGCTATTATTTTGAGATAGATAAAAACAATAAAGAAAAGAGTCAAATGGACTTTGTTCGCCTGGGGCCACGAAAGCAGCGCTTTTGTAGCGCTGTGCTGTTTCGACGCGATGTTCAGCTGTCATCAAGCGCGCTTTGTGTCGCGTTTTTGCAAGCGCCAACAATGAACGACAAGCAAACACCGCTTTGTATCGCGCGCACATGAATAACGATACGAGCATCTGACATACCTCACCGCCGCGCCGCCGGCAAACGCTGTCTGGATTAGCACAAATTCAATTTGCATGCCCCGCAAAAACCCAACGGCTTTGCCACCCGTGACACACTGTAAACGTCTCTGTTGTACAATTCAAAAGCACAAATTCGTTTCGTTTTCCACACGCTATTCTTCGTTCAAAGTCCTCCAATACCAACCCTCCGAAATATTTTACCCGCTCGGGCATTATCTTATCGGATGAGCGATTTCACACTCGTTGTGTTTCTCTTACAAATCGCATACATAAATCGCAAGGAATGAGCAAAGCGAGAATTGCAATCGGACACGGGCGATGGAGCGGGAAAGCTCGCGGGAGGTCGCGCGTCCCGGCCAATTCGGCCGCATGAAATAGTGCCGCGAGAGGCTTATCTAAAATAAACATCTGAGCGCCAATGAAACATGTCTTCAATTATCATAAATCGGCGCGCGCTGACAACGGCCGACGAAAGCCGCGCCCGCGCCACTTGCGGAGGCGGCCGGACGCACTGCATACATACAAATCACACCACTCTCAATTAAACACACTTAGTTTTCTATGCAATGCAACAATTTCGAAGTCAATTTTGTTGTAGCAACAATTTTGACGTAGACACTCCAAGCTTTCGAATTCTGAATATTATTATAAATATCTCGAGTAATATGACAATTTTTTCCTAAAAATTAGTAATTATGTAAAACTCAAATCTGTATTGCAAATATAATAAATACTGTTTATCGTTATGCGTGAATATTTATTGAAATATTAATAAAAATCGTTTTAATTTCGATAAACTTTATACAGCATTATAACTAGTCTCATTAAATTAGAGAAAATCAGGTTTACTGTTATTCTAATAAATATTTTGGCTTTCGGTTCACTACGCCTGCATAGAGTAATTGATAGATTAAAATGTAAAGTATGTTTATGGATTTTTTTAAAAGACAAGAGGAAATGCCATTAAAATATTCATAAATTGGCATTACGTTTGGTATTAGCACTTACAATTTTTTTGACTCTTCTCGTCTCTACCAAAGAAACTCTACTTCACTTCTAAAAGAACCAGCGTAGGTACCTATGTATATGAAACGTAATAATAATAAAAAAATAAAAAACAAATTATATTATATTTTTAAGGGGTTTATTTAATTTTAACATTTTTTTGGAAAGCAATGTTTTCTAAAAGTAATACGTCAATTAATTTATTTTCACAAATATAGCCATGCCAATGCTATAAATGATAAACAAATAAAAACGTATTTTGTTAACATACTTTTAAAGTAAATGTGAACTTACAACACAAAGGAACTCAAATTATTATTGATTATACGTAATTATTTTTTCTGCTTATTAAATATTTAGTGAATGTAGAGCAATTTTTTTTATTACATACCTAACTTTTTAGTTAGTACAAACATCGTAATATAATATCGATTAGTGTATGATTTATCTTTTTGGCAGTTTTGTTTTGTTTTAGAACCGATTACGTCTATGTGACAAATACTATTTTAATCGAAGTAGATATTAAAAAGTTGTTTCATATTTATAAAGGTAGTTTATGTGGTTTTGTACGAATTCTCAATTTACATGGTAATTTTATTTCAGTCTTGATCGTTAAGTAAACAACACGTGACAATTTTACAACGTGTTAGTACGTGTAGAGCGAGAATGATAGTGTGACGATTTTGCGCGTGCATGACGAGGTCGGCCGTAGAAGTAGTTGCGCGCGCGCAGTGTCGCCAATCACGCCTGTCTCCCCTCCGCAGGGCCGGCGGAGCTCTGAAGGCGACCAATGGCGCGCACGGGGCGGAGCTGGGCGAGCTCTCGGGCTTGCTGCACGCGGGCCTCGTGAAGCGTGAGCCCGAGGATCTGAGCCGCAAGGTGGTCGACGAGCCCGAGCCGCACGCGCTCAAGCCGCCGCGACACAAGGTGCGTCACATGTCCGTACGCCGCCGCCGCGCGCGCACGCACTCACACACTGCTACCGGACACTCATGAATTATTTATCGCGGTTAACGTACGATGCGCCGAGCAGCGCGCTCGAGACGCATTAGCCGCGCCCGCCCGCGCCCCTCACCGGCCGGCCAGCGCCGCCCGCCCAGTTTACGCCAATGCAGGCTATCCTCCAGGACTTCTGACTTAATCCGGGATTGATCTCTTTTCGTGAACGTGTAAACATTGAACAACATTAGTGTACGTGAAGCTGTGAACTGTGCCTCGACGCGGCATGTACGCGTCGACGTTGCGGAGCGGACAGTTGTCGTGGGAGAACGCGTGTAACAGGCGCGTGTGTCCGCAGGTGGCGGTCGGCGAGCCTGGTGAAGCGGCATCGCCGTCGCCAGTACCATCGCGGGCCTCTTCGGCTGGCTCGCTGCTTCCAGACCCAGCCATGTATGCCGCACAGATGTTCGCGCCTCCAGGCACTCCCAGTCCCACTCCTTACGGCGAGCAGTACTCGCGCCAGCCGGCCACATTTCCTGGAGAGCCTTATTATCGAGAATACTTTGTGGGCGATGGTTATCAGCAGCGAGCTGCACCACCTTACTCTGATGCCGAAACAGCTCCAACTTCGGCCTTTGGTGACCGTTATGCCGCTCCTCGGTATCACAGCAAGAGTGTGATTGCAGCCGCTGGTCTTACAGTGGACCTACCCTCACCGGACAGTGGCATCGGCGCAGATGCCGTCACTCCTCGAGACCACACGGCCGTTCAGCAGGTCGGTGCCTTCAAAGACTGTCAGGGGCGCGGGCGGGCGGGCTACACACCACACCAATATACATACACATTATTATACATTACTCACATTTAATGGCTTTAATGCGGACTCATTTATAAACTTTATTTATTTATCTACTTGATCTGAAATTCGACAACTTAGTTGTGCTATGTGTGTTGAAAGTTCACAGTTCACATGTAAACATACGTTATCAACAATGCTACTATCAGCTGATAATTAGGATGAACCAGCATTACTAACAAAGCCCACCCGCGCTCTGCACTCAATATATTATTAATATAAGTTACATTATATAACTTATTTATTTTCACAAAATTAAGTAAAACCTTCAATTTTATGCAAAAAAATATTGTAGTTTTATACATTAGTAAATAACTCACAACATCTCTAGTTAGATCAGTTAAACATGATCATAACGTTTTCTGAACTACTTATAAGATTCTGCTAAGAAACTCTGTAACAAACTTGGAATGCCCCTACTTAGTTGTCTAGATTGCTGGCATTCTTACAAGGTGTTAACTGAATTTGAGAAGGAAATTAATTAAATAAGTGGGTTCCAATAATTGCTACTGCATCGTTGCGACTGCACACAATAGAACCAACGCCACGCAAGACCTTCAGATTTAATCTACAGACATAGAACACCTCGTATACGACTCGTAATTTATAGCTATAGCGTTAAAATGGTTAAAATAACAAAATGACGTACTGATAATCAGATTAAGTGGTTTTGAAGGCCACTTGTGTTGCCAAGGCGTGGCGATCACGAGTCACTCATACCACAAATATTTATAAATTGAGAAAGATCAACATTTATACATTTTCCTATTGTTATCTAGACGCAAAAAGAATAAATAGACACCCTATAAATTAATGCGCGTTTCAAGTAACGAGACTTTTTATAGATTGAAATAATTTAGCTTTGTTGCAATTTTCCAGGTGAAGTTATCGAGATCACGTTTTACAATATTTTGTATCCATAAAGTCCGAGTTAATTCTTGACAATATTTTAAATCCTTGTATAATTAAAACAGCTTCTGTTTAGACCTTTATTTATGTTGTTGTAATTGAACACTTTACGATAATTTACTTAACCCAGCAAGTTTTGATAAGAACAACAATAATTCGTGATATTAGAATAGAATATTTATTTTTTAGCAAATATTTAAATTTATACCAAATATCGGTGATATGATGAATGTTGACACATGTGATTTATCACCACGATTTTAAATTATATAAAAAAAACTAGATTTTTTCCGCATAATATTGAAATTTTTGGTAACCTTATCATTTTCGGTCGCTACTTAACAAATATTTAATTATGACGTGCTTGCAATGAAATTTTAATAAGAAACCATTACCATAAATTAGTGGCTAATTAGACTTAAATTATGGAAGATTTCGACATAAAAAATCTCTTTACAACACGCCATCGTGCTAGGAAATAAGTATGTAATGTTTTGCTAAAACAATATCTTAAAACCAAAGTTTTTGTTTCTGATATTATTCAAATAGCTATGGATGTTGTGTAGAGTCACGACAAGTAGTAATTACTGTATTTTTTAGATCTCAATATTTATATGTGTAGTAATTACGTAGGTATATTAAAAATACGTATGTAGTTCTCGCTTCAGTTTTTTAAATAAATATGATCAATTTAAATCTTACCAAAATTCTCTCTGAATTTTGTAAATATCAAGTTACTCGATTTGTTAACAAAAAATGTTGTTTTATTTATACGATTTTATATTTTCTCGTCTCCGAAACCACTCTGCGATAGCGTGATACAAGAAGTAGGTGATTTTCAAATTGTTACAGAATTTCATGTTACACTGACATTTTACTACTACTGGAAGTACCACGCTAAAATTAACTGCTGTATTGTAAGGTTACCTATCGTTAAAACACCTATTTTCGCTTTTCAGTCAATGGATAGATTTACTGTTATCAACGCAATTAGAAGACGCTTATTTATTATTTATGAATTAGGCTAATAATGTATTGTTATGCCAGCAGTCGTTCGACTACTCGGTGATTTGCCCGCAATCGAGTGTGGGAGAGGATGGACGAGGCACTCCTGCGCACCACTCCCCCTCGCAGGCACCGCGAACGCGCCCCTGGCATGACTTTGGCCGGCAGAATGATGCCGATAAGATACAAATTGCCAAACTGTAAGTTTTATTTCCTACTGTTTTTGTACTAACAAACATATCTGTTTTTATTATAACACCGAATTCATTTTTGCAAAAATAATTTCTGATTGAGGCGATTTTGATATAAACTAATGTTATGTTAAAGAGATAGCGTCGTCATGTTAAAGAGGTATCCACCTTGTTAGTGTCAGTGAACTTACACTTCCATTTTTAATATCTCTATTTTCACCACTGATTTAAGAAACAATTATATCGAAGCAACAAAACTGAAAAACCTTGTACTGTCTAATAGTAACAGATTGCAGAGAAGTTTGTAGTCATTAAGACTTTTATATTGTTAATATCGTGTGCAACAACCATCGAGTATATAACCAGAAATAGAGACGAAATAAGGGCCATATATTCCTGGTAACACATCAGCGATACAGCTCTTATAAATATCAACTATCGTTTGCACTGAAATATAGACAGGCCAACTACTAACCTGTGTGTACGTCTCCGTATATTCCAAAAAATATTCTGTATTTATTCTAATAAAGATAATATCTCTAACAATGCCGTTCTGTTCTATTCGGTGGTGTGGGAAAAACAGCAAAACATCTAATTACAAAACAAACGGAATCACATTTCGTCTGTAATTAAATATTAAATATGTAATTTTGCAATCGTCGTCCACTATAGCACAGCTCAAGTTAATTGGTCGATTTGAAGTGAAACAATTGACGACACCCATTGACGACACCCGTATATTGTTTCGAACTCGGGCTAGCCAATCGGAGCGCAGTTGACACAGTAATGATATGGCAGAATAGTTTTCAAACAAATTAAATGACATTTCGTCTCTATTTCTGGTTATGTACTCGATGGCAGCAACGATTGTTTAAATAGTAACACCATAGGCATTTGTTATGCTCGAATATTAAGGACTTACCTTACTATTCGAGAAATACATAAGATAGACAGACAGACATGAGAAATAGCAAATATAACAAACTGAGATCTGATTTAGGCACTTACTTTTCATAGAACACTAAAAAGCAACGAGTCAACAAATGACCGTTAATGCTTTTGTTAAACATCCGAACAATTGATTATACCATTTCTCTGCACACGAGTAATAGAGTACCGATAAACCAACGACTATGTTTACTGACCACTTCGCACCTCTTCGTGTGCCCAAACCTCCATTTCTTCTAGGAAAACCTTCTAAATGCGTCAAACACATATTAGCTCCCAAAACTCAGAAAGTTGAAATTCTTACGAACGTCAAACCCGCGTTGCTTTGCTTCATTTCAAACATATAACATACTCGCGAATCTGATATGTTTCAATACAAAAGACATAAACGTGAACGTGTTTTGTAAAATATTAAATTACATGCCATTATGTAAATATTGGGAAAACATTTACATGTGTTGGCATATTTTGGCGCAAAAAGTAAAATACAACCAGTCTTGCCAGTATCTTAAACGTAATTCGATTGTACCTACCTAAAACTTGCGTGATCTGTTCTGCCGTTCTTGTAAAATACACAGACGTGTGTAAAAAACTATTTAACATATTTGTCCTTTAAAAATAACAAATATCAATCATTGATCAACGTCTTTATTGACTTCGATTCCGAGGAAACGCCGTGATTTTCGAAAATGTTTACTACTTTGTGTCATATTAAGAAAATGAGTTTTACAATGTCAGAGCTCTTTTTTTCATTTAACGTTGTTATTCCAACGGGACCTTTTTAAGAGATGCTAAATTGCATTCCATGATCTCTGAATGTAGCTGTAAAAAGCTATGTAAATTGGTAATGTTTTAATTTTTACTCCCAAAGTTTAATTGCCTTTTCAAGCTTGGTCTTATTCGTGTAAAATTGTCGACAGATGACATTGTAAAGCTAGTATTAGAATTAATGCCACGAAAGCTTTAAATGCCTAGCTATACAAGAAAAATAATATATTATACGGTAGTCTGTCTTTTTTGAAGACGGAGTAAAATGACAGTCCATTGTGCAAAAGTGTTGCATGTTTGCAAGCTGCTAGTGATTGCAGTCGATAAATATTATATCGAGTACATAAAATAATTAGGCGAAATTGTTTCATTTGACACAGTTCATTCGAATTGTTCATTTAAAAAAAATCATTCATACATACACTAAATGTAGAAGTGTGTCTATTAAAAATATAAATAGGATACATATTTTAAAGTTTTTCATTTTAATTTAATACACATAATGGAATCCGCCTATCGTTTTTAAAATGTGTATGATTAAAAATTGATTTTGATGCTAATGGACCAACTGTTAAAATAAGAATAAAGAATTCAATAACGCAAATAGTAATCATCAGAACGTCGTAACGTTCACAATTCAGTAATTTTTGGCAAAATGTTACTTACTTTCACAATCTATCGATAAAACTGTCGACAACTACAACATGACTATTTAAAATTTTACGAAAACGGCAACCATGTAAATGTTATTTTACTCCATATCAAACAAGACAAACTTTATTACATTAGTAGATTTTAGTCTTTTTATTTACGTTAAAGTCAACTAATTTATAAATGTCTATATTAAGGTTCATAGTGACTTTTACTTATGTTAATAACTTTATTATACGGACATGCAAATTATGATTTACATATTATTGTTTGATGTAAAACGATGTATTTTTCCATACATCTACGTATGACTTTTTGATACATGACATCTGGCTTACTTTGCTTTCGGTAGCGTAATTAACTCTGCGCGCGCACTTATTAAGTAACTATTGAATAATGTAACTAATTTATTTGCACGCAAACGATTACATGGACTGCAGACAAGGAAATGTAAGTATTTACTATCTAGTCTACCCTATTAATAAGACATCGATAAGCTTTCCGTGACGATATAACACTCCTTTATTTTCCGTTCTCCGTTCCGTTATTGCATTTAGCCTGTATACGTTATTCTTTAGCTGACGAAACAGGTGGTTACTTAAAGTATTATCAAAAATAAAATGCATTTTACTTTGAAGTCCCTTGAAATCGTCAAATAAACGAAACAGGCGACACGCGGCGGAAGCAGTCGTCGACATCGTCGACATGATAAGTGCATTAGCATTATTATCTCCATAATTACTTGCTTGCATTTGGCCCAAATAACTCGGTCGCTTCTACCGTCTTAAATTACCGAAGCCGATACGCGCGTTCGCCGGCCGATACCAGCCCTTGCCGCCTTCGTCACCACCGCTCTCTTCTGACGCCCTCACAAATGTTTGGACTATTACTTACCACCCAGTTAAGTAACCCACGAATGCCCGCCCGATACCTCCTACAGACATCTGTTTGCTTCTCGAATACTCTTTCAACACAGGAATGGGCTTTTAAAAGGCCTGTAACTTAATCAACTACGTATGGTCTTTGATTAGCACTTTAAAACGTACCTATTACGCCTCTACTCAAGAAATGGGATCTAATTGTAAACCATATATTGCCGCTCTAATGCTGTTTTCATACAAATAAGTCTGATTGGATACTATTAAGTTGTAAAGTTATTATAAACTCCTGAGATGTTGATCACCGGAGGTTTAAATGTGAATTCAGGATTGCGACGTGCACGCAAACTAAGCATCTGTTCACTTTGAGCTGAATGAATATAAGTAGGTACTTTAAGCGGCATTCCTTCACTACGGTTAAGCTAAGTATCAAGGGTGCTTTTCATTCCGCTGCGTGATTACTTGGAAAGCTGCAATCCAATTATGTGTTTTATCGTACAGGTAAATTTTATTTTCCCCTCACATTATAATTATTGCTTTAATCGATGGATCGATGTGGAAAGGTTCGAAACGCGTGCTCAAGTGTGATGCTATCCGGTAGTCGAGAACAATTTCCTAAGATCGTTTGCTGGAGTGGTAGCGGCAACTAATTGTACCATAGGAGCAATGAGGTTGGGACTCCGCGTGTACGCTGGGTGCGTACCCAGTAATCAGTTCGCCACTCGCTGCCATTACGCTAGCTAAGCGTTCCCATTAACTGCTGCAACCACCGCCACTACCCGCCTAATCTCGTTGCTTGTCTGATGCGCTCGTTCCTCTCCAACATACTATCACGCGTACTCTAACTATCCAATAGATAGAATCTTTTAATTTCAATGTAGTTTAACATTAACTACTGTTACAAAGTAGGTGCCTCAATATTACAGCTATTATTCTGAAAGGGTATTAGTTATAATCAGAGCGAATCAGTCGTAATTGCTAGTAAATAAAAATAATTGTTTGCGTCATAGTTAGATCGTTGATTTATTGAAAACTAATAGGGACTCTTCTTCAATAACTACCTCTATACTCTATACCTATTGTAAAAATACTCGTATCTGCACCGTGGAGAGAGCCTATCCAACACTCGCCTTGAGCAGACAACATTCCACCTAAATTTCCATTAACGAATGTTGTGACAACTATACGGTTGTTGTTTTTTATATAATGTTTAGATATATCCCACTGCTATTATAATAGTGTTGTAACTCAAAATATGTGAAATTTAATATTATATCATTACTGAACGTAAAATTTGATTCTCTACACGTCAAAAAAACCGTGTTAGAATATTGTAAGAAATAATCAAAAGATAACCACTAACCTCAAAATGAGACACACTGTATGAGAGCTAGTTCTGGCCAAAATAATCCTTATTCAAAAATATTAAATTATATTTTCCATTTTATTTATAAATATATTTGAGAACATGTTTAAGTGTCTATAATTAAACTATAACATACTTAAATTTTAATGATTTTTTTGCGGAAAGTGATTAATTCGTTTTTCATCGATTCTGAGAAAGTCCACTTTTCGAGTTAATACACTATTGTGTTAACAGTGCGATATATTAAATTGATGCGATGATGATTTATATTGAAATTGATGAGTCGTTTTCCGTTTGGTTTCTTAGCTTCCGTAATAATTTAAAAACATAATTGTTAGAAAAAATGTGTTACAAACTGAATTACTTATAGGCAGGTATCTACCTACTCCTTGTTACTTACATGTTTAAAAAGATACTTTTACGTTTTGATTGTCATACCATGCCAGGTCTTTGTTTCTGTTGAACGAATGAACTATGATCGGAGCAAGGCTTTCCGCGTCCAAGCGCATCGAAGCTAAATAAGGCCGGATTTATGCGCATCTAATTTGGCGGAGAAGCGCACTCGCCACAGGACGCCCGTCCAACATCCCTCCGCACTCCGCCGCCGCGCCGTTGCGGCCGCTTATCGGGGCATGCGTTTTTATTGCCAATGCGACCACTTTGTTGTCGCTGCGTTCGGCAACTTTTTGCACACTCATCAATTTCCGCGCCTCAGAGATTGATTTATTCATGAAAGGCCCTCGCCTTCACACAGGAAGTGCCTTTTTTCGGTTGCTGCGTCGCTGAAATTTGTAATGAAGCTCATTCGAAAACAATGTGTTATTTATTATTAAATATAGTAAATTTTTATGTAGACACCTACTTGCTTGATAAGTCATTGAGTTTGACAAAATTTGTGCTGTGTTTACTTTATTAACATGCCTTTGCTTACCAAAACATTATAATTATTTTATAAAGCTATAATAATTTAAATGTATCAATGCTCAAAAAAGTCAACATGACAATGCAGAGGAAAATTGCATTGGAAATAGCGCTCGGAATCATTTTAGAAAGCATCAGATAGGTGAGCGCTGCGACCGATCCGTCACTGTCGGACGGCGTTATCGGCCCGGCCCTTTTTAAATCGCAGACATCAGCAGAATTGTTTACCAAATTGTTTTCAATAATCCCGAACTAATAGTGGAACTGCAAATCTGAACTCGATCGATGCAAACGAACATTTCTGCATTCCCGCAAAGATTTATTAGTAGATTATAGTATTTCATAACGATTTATAGCTCTTTATCGTCTTACATAAGTTAAATAGAGGTACAATAGAGCCCGCTGATAATGATGTCGCTATTTCCTGGCTAGTTTTCACTTTGTGAGCCTGTCGGGCGTGGGCCGAGCCGAGATCGGGCAATGCGACAAGGTGTTTCCGTGCGTGCGGCAGTGGCGACCGTAGCAGGAGCAGGCCGCTGCTTGCATCTCATGACGCCTCGTAGCTAATGAGTCGCGACACGCGATGACCGCTAAATTAGCGGGGTTTTCCTTCCGCCGATCTCGTGCTCAGGAAATCGCGAGAAAACACACTTTTTCATTCGCTGTATGAACTGGATCTCCACGCCTTTATGTAACAACACCGCTGACAAGCTTTACTGGCGGTGCAATTAAGATTTCCACTTTTTGCACACTTTTATTGCTTTACTTCATGGAAACTTTATTGTCGAGAACGTGTGTCTGTAGATAACTATCTTGGAGAAGAAATCGCACTTTTTCTAAATGGTTTAAAACAAGCTCGTTTCGCATATTTTATTTGCCAACGTACATACTATACTACTGTTTTAAATTCTTATCTTTATATTATTACGTCGGTATAGAAGTGTCATCTACAAACTGGCTGAGCTGGGTTACATATAATTGTTTGACAGGGTTATATTTTTGCGCCCAGGTTTTCCCCCTATGGCTTTAAATACCACCTGGAGACTGCGAGCAGCAGCTCCCAGCGGCGCGAGGACGACCGCATCACCTACATCAACAAGGGCCAATTCTACGGGATTACGCTCGAGTACATACATGATCCTGACAAACCTCTGAAAAATCAGACCGTTAAGGTAAGTCCACAAATTATACTCTACATCGAATCTGTCGACACTTTGCGTCATGGAAATAAAAAAAGGTACATGGGCTATTGTTTTCTATCTGATAATTGCTAAAAATGTTCAACGTTTATACGCTTAATCAGAGATAATAAAATAATTTCTTATGATTTTTTACACTTTCCTTCGTCTTTGCAATTGTATGTTTTTAAATATTATGCCCAGTTATCTGGAAGAATGCTTATAGGTACTTATTCAAAGAGTTTCGTGACGACTAAATGCGAATGCATAATTAACAGATTGGACCTGTCGAAAACCTTTATTTTTATAAATTTAATTAAAGTTATTGACTTTTAACGGTACGTTGACCGGATGTTTACCTCTTGCGGACCTTAGAAAGTTGTATGTTGGTGTACTGTACTCGTGGAAGCATCTAGGCGTCCGTAATGAAACCTCGCGACAACTCAGCAAATATCTCAATTTATAATTCAATTCAATGGGAATAAAATGTAAAATATGATAGCTCCTTTGCGGAAATGTAAACGATGTTTGTTTAATATTGTTTGCAGACTTATAATATTGCCTAAAAACTACGTTCTTTTTACTTTCTGCTCACCTCAGCTGTAATATACTAAGTTTTTTTAGATTAATCTTCTACCGTTGTAGCATTTACGATCATTTCAAGATGTACTTAGTTACTACATTGTTACGATAACTGTGTGAGGTAGATAAAATTTGAGTGGAGTGCAAGTGGCTGACTATGAATGCGGTTTCGAGGAAGTCTCGACCGCAGGCATCTCGTGTCGGTTTCATCCGCAGTGCCCCCGCAGGCTTCAAGTTCATCTTCATGTATTCGCTTTCATAAAAGTCCCTCAGGACTGCTCAGATTTCTGAAAAGGATAGAAGGGCACAGATATGTAACGGGTTTTTTACTAAGTGTAAATTATTTCGTAATTATATTGACAGAACCGATAAAGTTGGTACTTATTAGGGTATTTTTTCAAAGCCACAATTTTATGTGTCCATGCATTAAACTCCATTTATTTATCAAAATAAAAGCCGACAAAAAATAGAGTGCATAATGTAGATCAAAAGCTAAGTGGAGGGCACAAAATCTTCCCAATAAACCTTTCGACCTAATGGAAAAAAATCCAAAATGCCTAAAACCTGACAACGGTGCCGTTGAAAATTGAAACCGTGTATCAATGTTGGACTTTACTTCACGTATTATACATTAAATAACAGTACTTATAATCTGAATTTCATAATAAACTAGACAGTTTTATCACAACACTAAGATTGCTGCGTGTCCCAGGCTCACGCGGGAATTCGGTGGTAGTTACTAATCACGCTACACATCACAAGTGAAGCATTTTAGAAGCTTTGCAATTTGTTCTTATTATTCGTCCATCACGCCCGGCTGGAGAGAACAGGAATCTTTTTGCGTGTAAATTCGTAATTCGATGGATTTGGTCCAGGTTGATTTTTTAATTTGGTGTATACCTACGATATTTCAAAAACTAAATTTTTTGGTTGTATGTAATGTTTTTTATAATATGTGTTGTAACGACTAAAATAATATGACACGACTAATTTAATTAACACAGTGAATAGCGACATCTCTCGCCAGGACTGGTAGCTGTAAAGGTACTAACTGGGTGATAAATCTGTAATAGATTTCTCATAGATGGCGCTACGACTAAAAAGTCGTTGAAAAACCAAGTACAAAGACACGACGCAAGCACATAGAGAAATTCGTGAGGTCCGTTGGTTCGTTCCGTGGCTTAGTTGGTATATATATAGGTCTGGCACGGTATGCAAGAAGACGTCGGTTCGAATCCGACCGGATCGAAGGAATTTTTTCTGAGTGTTTTTTCTGAGTGTTCGATCTTTGTATTAATAATTATAACAAACTAGTGGAGTAATTTCACAAAAAAAAAAAAAAATTGAATATCAATTCAATAAAAATTTAATAATATAACAACTTATTTCTTTTGCAAGTATTGTCGTTTACGAGTAATATAATATATATATATATATATATTTCTGAATCCCATGGTCAGAAAAGCTTCCACTGAAGTCGGAAACACTGTCATCGAAGCTATATTTTCGTTGAAAAGCAAGAACTTTATACGTTTTTCAAATAAATTTTTAGTTAATATTATTGGCTTTCACAATTTTATACTACTACTCGCTTCCCGCTGAAAATAGTAAGGAAAATCAAAACAGAAAAGAAAAATTGGAAATTATGAAGGAACGTGTTAGGCAAGCAAGATAAAAAGCCATCTAGTTATATATGGAAGGTTTAAAGAAAAAGATAGACAGAGGTATGCGAAGACAAAGCGGAAGGAAAAATTTTGAAGTTGCATGAATTACCTCGTTAAGTATAAAAAGTATCAAAAAATTTGATCTCTTTTGTAGCTACAGATTACGTTCTAAATTTATGTTTTAAAAGAGATGCGGAAATACTTTGTGTGATTGAAAAAAGGCTGAACAGCCAAACTGAAAACTAATTTTAATTAATAGTCACAAGGTGAAATTATTTGCGTTGTTCCGAGCTTGATTTAACGGTAAGCCGTATTAGTGAATTTTTATGTAAGTTATTGAATGTTTTTATTGCCTTTTTCATGATATTTTATACAAAAACTATGCCTTTTAAAAAAAATAAAGTAATTTCAAATGAAATGATATATCATTAACTGTTAAAAATCTAGTTGCCCGATGAACGGAATCTTATATAAGTTTGAGTTCTTTTTCCTTCCCGCTTAATGTTTTTCCACAAAATAAAATTCGACCACCTAAATCTCAGAACTTAGCCCTTCTAGGAGAAATGCCTAGTAAGTAAATCATGAATCTAATTATAAAGAAGGAAGTTATTGAAATTATTAAACAAGCTATCTCTAGGGGCCCTTCTTAAACTCGACCTTGTTTAGTATATACTGATGTTTTTCTAGAGACTTATTACAGAGCGGTATTTTTCAAACACCGGTTTATAGCGTAACAGTGACGACCTTATCTTCGAGAATGACACATCGATAGCGTGACTTAGGTCACACTTAAATGTTCATCATTATCGCATGAGAAAACTGGAACAGTTTTCTCATACACACAAAAGATATAACCGCATTGACAACCAACGTGTCTAATTTCCCATGGAAATCGGAAATCCCCTAGCATTATTGTTTTCTGACACTTCCCTGGAAAACGAGATCGTAAATTAGAACTTCCATACAATAAAATTACTTTAGTTTACAAATTAACTAAGTTCTTGTAAAACCAGAAAATCCACTATTACACCTGGCCAATCGCGTTTAGTTAATCGTGGTGGGTATTGTGATGATATATTTAATCTGTTCTTTTTATTATGTCCTACCGATCTATTGTTTATAAAGAAAACGAAGTAGCCGTAGAATGAGTCATTGTGTGTCGAAGTTAACAATCTGCTCGCATTTATGAAATGCATTCTACATATTCAATAGAGCCATTTTCTATCGTTTTTCTATCCGGCAGCAACATATTCAAACACGCCTTATCGCAATTCAATGGGATTAGATCAGAATAATCAGAAATACAATGAGACATACGGTTATAGTTATTAAGGGCTTGGCATTGTGTGAAAAATAATTGCAAAATTAAATACCTAACAAAATCTTGAACTCGCACAGTCGGTATGATGAATTAGTGATATAATCACAAAATGAGTTTATTTGTTGCTACGTAATTCAGTTTAAGTGGCTTATTTACATTACACCCAATTTGTTAATAATACAGCATTTTTAATAGGACCAAATAAGGATGACTATATGTTATGTATCCTGGGGCCAACAAGCGTGGCTGTGTTGGGCCAGGCACAGGCACAGCCGTGGTATCGCATTCAATGCGACGCAGATAGGTAGAGCTCTGCTTATCTCACCGCAATCGAGTTCGCATTGTATGCCCGAGCTCGATAATTAAGACGACGCTTTTGACATTCGCCATATAGGAATACAATGACCGCCGCGGGAGCCCACAGTCGGATAATATCGCTCCCTTAAACAATAACCCAGCCGTATTATGATAAAACAATTTCAATGCGGCAAACATCGTGTTTTCTTAACGAGCATTCCTTCTGTTTCAATAACGAGAGGAAATACCGACGGAGTTGGATATTATGTCGTTCGCTATGTATCGAATATATGACCACTAGCACAACATACCTACTTGGTTGTTATGTGGCAAAAATCTTTAAATAAGCGCAATACAACCTCTGAAAATTAAGAAACTATATAAATTTATATGTAAACACGCGAAATGAATAGCCGTTAACAATAATTAAAAATACATTAATTGGCGGGTATCAAGCGTAGCTGACAATTTAAAATTCACACGCAGCGCGAATTCATTTCGCGTGTCAAAAAGTGGTTAAGAGATATAACAGAATTTTTGGCAAACAGAAAGATTCGTGTGTCAGGGTGTGCAGCATTGTAATTACGACTGGCACCGCTCTTGTTTCGGCGCTGCTTTACACTGCTGTCGCGATACAATCACTCCTGGGCTGCACCGGCTTCGCTCGCCCCCAATTCGAAATTTGCACCCAATTAACTGCTCCACATACTGACTCGAATATCTCCTCTCTCCATGTTTTCCGCATTCGCACGCTGTGCACATACTATTTGCATTTCAATTCCACAAGACAAATCGAATTTTAAAATGATGTCCTAAGAAACGTAATAATAGGGTTGAACAGATTGTCTCGAAGGTATAGTCTCCTGAACACAAAAAAAAATATGAAAGACAGTCGATCAATCACTAAATGTAGTGGCAATTAATCATCTCGCTAGTGGCGTTGTGTCGCGATGTCATAGCGAGTCTAGCGACACCTCAAGGGTTGCTCTTGGGCACCCGCCCCACTTGCTGCGAATGTATCTGAATAACGTACACCATATCCTTCATTAATCACAACTGCGTGATTGAACTGCCTGGTTTTGGTTGAATGCATAATTAAAATGACGGAGAGTGTCATTGCGAAATATTTT